GGGTCTTGGCCCGGCTCCTCATCAGCATCGTCGTCCATACCGTCGATGTCTTCCGAGCCGTAGTCGAGCGTGTCGGTTAAGTCTTCGATAGTTTGTATGAAGTGGGCAGTGGGTGGGAAGCAAAATTCTCCGTTATCAGTCTCCAGTTCGAACCGGATACAGTTCAGCTGTGAGCCCCCTCTAAGGATAGTTCTCTTAACGAGTTTAGCACGTCGCCCAAGGGCGAGTGTCAGAAGATGTCCGCGGAGCTGAATTCGATGATCGATGACCGATCAAGCTCGACGTACGTGGACGCACAAGGTTCGGAACCTGTAGCCTGAGACGAGTTCGCAGCTCCGGTGACATAGATGTCACTTGAAGTTAGGTTTTTGTGCGGCTCCAACGCCGCTGAGTCTGCGGCTTCCACGGCAGGGTCGAGCTTCCCGTCTTCGGATGGCGCGATCTGCTCCGGATCTATGGCTGGAGCAGCTACAGGTACTATCTCCTGCGTATGAACCGATGACAGATTTACGTCATGTTCATCGTGGTGGCAGGGAGCGGCTGCCATGGTCTCGAATCCATCGAAGATCAAGTCTCCACGGATATCTGTAACATAGTTCAAGCTTCCAAATCTAACCTAATGGCCAGGGACGTAGCTTTCGATCTGCTCTAGATGGCTAAGCGAGTTGGCCCGCGATGCGAAGCCGCCGAACACGAAGATCTGTCCTGGGAGGAAAACTTCCCCTTGGACAGCTTCATTGTAAATGATTGAAGGAGCCATCAAACCTCTTGACGACGGCACAGTGGAACTCTCAATGAAAGCACCAATGTCGGTGTCAAAACCGGCGGATCTCAGGTAGGGGGTCCCAAACTGTGCATCTAGGATCGATGGTAACAGGAGACGGGGGACATAATGTTTACCCAGGTTCGGGTCCTCTCTATGGAGGTAATACCTTACTTCCTGCTTGATTGATCTTGGTGAATATGAGTATTACAAGAGTTGATCTACCACGAGATCGTAATGGCTAAAACCCTAAAAGTCTAGCCTGACTATGATTATGAGGGTCTCTCTACGGACCTAGCCCTATGGTTTATATAGACACGGGAGGGATCTAGGGTTACACAAGGTCGGTTACAGAGAAAGGAATCTTCATATTTGGTCGCCAAGCTTGCCTTCCACGCCAAGGAGAGTCCCATCCGGACACGGGCAGAGTCTTCGGTCTTTGTATCTTCATGGCCCATATCCAATAGGTCGGGCGCCCGAGGACCCCTTAGTCCAGGACTCCCTCACTAGCCCTGGCCAAGCACCATCTCCCCCCGGAAGTTCTGGACCTGAACCTAGATCTCACACCACTTGTTGGCTAACAGCCTGACGACGCGTAGGGGCTTGATCACTAGCCACTGCTTCATCACCTCCCTGAACTTGGGCGGGATGACGAGCATGGCGAGATCCTCCTCGTCCTTGATCTGGCAGTAGAAACACAGTGGCTCCCAGGACCCCTCCTCATGGCCGGTCCTCGGAGATCGTCCCCTTGAATGCGGCTGTCTCATGAAGGCGGCCCTGCCAGGCAGGTCCACCCTCTTAAGCCAGCGGTTTGTGGGGATGAAGTCCACGGCACCCTTGGCGCTGACCACGACCTGAGCTCCTCGACCGGCCCTGTCCCACTCCGTCTTCATCACCTTGTCAGGTAAGATGACATGGGTTAGTAACATGGCATTGGGTTGAGACATTGATCGGTGGCACTTGCCGAAGAGCAAGTGTCATTGATGAGTGGCACTTGCTTATGGGAAACAATGACTGGTCAGTGCAGTTTCCAAAACATGACTAGTGGCACTTGCTCATGGGCAGCAGCCACTGATCAGTGAACATCATGGCCATTGCAAGTTGTGACCACTTTCACATTTGGCATCATACTACATTAGTACTAGTACCTAAACGAGGAAACACAATGGTCCTACAACATGTATGAGCATGCAAATTTGTCCTACCTATCATGAACGCCATGCACGTAATGAAATCATGCAACAAACCATGCCTAAACCAGCACCAATCTAGCTCTTCCACATCACACACAAACCCTACCTATGAACAACATGAACATGTAAGCACCTATCACGCAAGAGCCAATCTACCCTGCCTATGAACTACAATGTAACTACCTATGAACAAGAACCAATCTACCCTTCATACGAACAGCATGAACATGAAGCATGAACACTACGAGCACTATGAACGGCAAGAACAACATGAACAGTAGCAGCCTAATGAATCCAATCCAATCCAATCAACTCCTTGTGATGCCTAATGCAGAAAACTCTAATCTACAGAGGGGAAATTAGTAACTTACCGGAACGGTTGGAGTTCGAGCGTACGCCGGCCAGGGAGAAAGCCCCGGTGGGAAGAGGATGGCGGGCGAAGAGGAAGAGGAGCCGGCAATGCCGACGGCCGTCGGCATTGCCCTGGTGCTCGTGGCCACACGTGAGGTCGAGGAAGCAGGCGCCATCGTTCATGGCCCGGAAGCGCTGCCCGGAGAAAACCCTGGAATGGGGGTGAAAAAAAAAACCATCCACAGGCCGTGCAGTGGCGTGGTCACCGTCCCCTCTAGCGCTGCCATCGAAGCCAGGGCCATGAGGTCCGGATATGGCAGCGGAGCCAGAGCGACTGACACCGCATTGGCCGGACGAGGGGCCTGCAGCAGACGGGCGACGACGCACGGAGGGCCGCCATAAGGTCGACGCCGGAGTTCGCCAGGCCGGCAATCCTCCTCTCGTGGATGCGGTTGCCGCTGGCCTTGATGTGGTGAAGGGATGGCGCGGCGGCGGGCGAGCCATTGGAGGGGAGGAGAGCAACACGCGACGAGGAGAGTGAGGGAGAGTGGTGTGAATGGAGCGTGGGCGATGACACGAGAGGAGAGGGGAGTTATTGAGACGTCCCGTCTGTCTTTCACGCTCCCCGAGGCGTGCAGCCAAGAGCCACGTGTGGGCACGCTAAGGCTGGCTGCCGAGAAACTACCAATTCGGTAGTAGCTCGTAGGCCTGACTCGAAACTGCTTTAAGTTTCATACAACCCGAGATTTAGATGCAATCCATGCAACCAAACATGTTGTTTTCATCCCGGGTCTGGTTCGGCCTTATGCAAGGTACTCCCTCCATTTCTTTTAGTCTACATATAAAGCTTTGTCAAAGTTAAGCTTGTAAAGTTTGACTAACTTTATATTAAAAAATATCATCATTCATAATATGAAACCAATATTATCAAATGCATCATGAAATGTATTTTTATATAATATAATTTTATTACTATTGATGTTCATTTTTTTTTACATAAATTTAGCCAAACTTTGTATAGTTTGACTTAACCAAATCTTAGACGCGGAGTAAAAAGAAATCGGAGGGGTATGTCCCCTCGCAGCGCTGATGTCACCAAGCTCCGTCGTCGTGCGCTCTACGATTAGCTTTACACAAACCCCCACTGGGTACCAGATCCCTCAACCACCACGCCCTTGTCTCAGGTCCTAATCCGGCAATCCCCCCTCTATCTTTCTCCAGCGCGGCCGACTGGCTCTCAGATACCGGCGGCGCTCAGGGTACTTCTCCTCGCCGGCTGTTCTTGGGGCACAGGCGGCGCTCAGGGTACTTCTCCTCGCCGGCTGGTTCTTGGGGCACAGGCGGCGCTCAGGGTACTTCTCCTCGCCGGCTGGTTCTTGGGGCACAGGCGGCGCTAAGGACGCGGGAGCATCCATCCACATCAGGTGATTCTCGCTTTTGCTCTGGATCCCGCTTCATTTCTTGCTTGCTTCCACGGCCATTTCTCCTTTTTGCGGGGACGCTTCCGCGGCCTTGGGGTGGGCACCAATCTCTTGCTCTAACTCATCCATGCTCCAATCCCACCCAATGTGGCATAAAATCTACCACCTCCGTGCCGTAGCTTAATCCTGCTCTGTCTCTCTCCACCCCGACCTCATTCTTAGACATTAATTTGTTTTTTTAAGCTGATGATTACCTAAATCTAAACGAACGACCACAACATTTGTCTCCCTGGATCCTGCGTGCCCTGGGCCGAGTCCCCCCGGCTTCTCAACACCAGATTTGATCGCTCCAGCTTCGACGAGGCCAAGAGGTTTCACTCCTTGGTGCTGCTTGCCACGTTTTGCGCATGTGCTAAGAAATGTTTATCTAGTGTAGCATATGTGTGCATTATATGTTGGATAGGAAATTGGGGAGTATGTATTTTGTTCGAGATTGATCGGCTCCTTCTTCCATTTTCCATCTTAGAATAAGTCAATGCTATTGATTATTACTCAAACAATATACCCTGCATGTGCATGAGCGGTACCAGATGCGATAGATAGGAACTTTATTACTTTATTAGTCTATCATTGGTCTATTTTTGACAACTAGCCATAAAAAACTACCATTGGTAAGTCGTATGTACCATTTCACTATGTGAGAGTATTTTTTTTGTTTGACAATCAAGGACTAGCCTGGAGATGCTCTTACATTGGTAAGGTATAAATGCGTGAAGTTTAGTGAAATTCACGTTGTGTTTCTCAGCATGGATCTGATAGTACAATGCATAGTATGCACTTTCATGGAGATAAAAATGCATCATTATTTATATGGATCAGACAGTGTTAGTGGGGTGCACCACTGAATTGCATCATTATTTGTTGGTGGGGTGCGCCACTGAATTGCATTAATCTGGTACTTTTCCTCTGTGACTTTTGATAATTATTACTCCCTCTGTAAACTAATATAAGATGTTACCAAATATATTTCATGGTCAAGCGGTGCCGATAAACGGGTATATGTTTGGTTAACCATTTACGGGTTTGTGATCTGAGGCTATTTGGTAGATTTACACTGATTAGTTTATTTTACGATGAGATTTGTACCTATTAGTTGTTCCTTATTGGAATGAAAAACTGTTCTGATGCCGCTCTTTCTTTTTGCAGGAATTCAGCCCCAAATTAGCCAGTTCTCTTTGTTGATATCCACGATTTGGCTTCTGATTTACAAACATGGCTTGTTGCCTTATGTGTAGAAAGGACATCAAACAGACTATTGAAGGTGAAGAAGGTGAGCATTTCATGTCTTTGCTCAGTTTTATAACCACTTTTACTGCAAAAACGTTCCATTCTGATTCACTTGCATTTGCTTTCTGGCAGTTCCAGGAGGAAATAAGGTGAAAGCTTTTTCTTACAGTGAGCTGAGAAAAGCCACACATGATTTTAGTGGAGCCAACAAGCTTGGCGAAGGCGGTTTTGGTTCTGTGTTCAGGGTAATTTCCCTAAGTCAATGGCCACATAAGCAAAATCCTTTGCATCAAGCTCTCTTAGCTAACATTCATTTTATTTGATTAGGGAAGGCTTAAAGACGCCACAATTGTTGCGGTAAAGGTGCTTTCTGCCCATTCAAAGCAAGGCATCCAAGAGTTCTTTACTGAACTTACAGCAATTTCTGATATTGTGCATGAAAACCTGATCACCTTAGTCGGTTGCTGCGCTGAGGGACCCCATAGGATCCTTGTATACAACTATCTTGAAAACAATAGCCTTGCACATACACTGCTAGGTGACATACTGTTCTGCCTTATGTGTCCTTCGCTGCTCATTTAATGCTTTAATAACCATCTCACTTAAGTATTGCAGGTAAGGGTTATAGCAGCATTCGATTCAACTGGAGAGTCCGTGTTAAAATTGCTGTAGGTGTTGCCCATGGGCTTGCATTTCTTCACGAAGAAATCCATCCTCCCATAATCCACCGGGACATAAAGGCAAGCAATATTCTGCTTGACAAGGATCTCACACCCAAAATTTCTGATTTTGGGTTGGCAAGGCTCCTCCCTCCAAATGCAACTCATGTGAGCACCCGCGTTGCAGGTACAATGTAAGTATAACCTTGTTTGGGGTTTGGTTGGGAATTGGAATATATTTCATTCTGATCTCTCTCTCTCTCTCTGCCTTTTTTTTCTCCTGTCAGAGGATACCTGGCTCCTGAATATGCAGTTAGAGGGCAAGTGACAAAGAAGTCAGATATTTATAGTTTTGGTGTTTTGCTATTGGAAATTGTTAGTGGCAGGTGTAACCACAATAATAGATTGCCTTATGAAGACCAATTTCTGCTCGAGAGGGTAAGCTCTATCGCAATACTATGTTCACCAAACCTATGCTTCATTTTGAGACTGAGTTGTGATTCTTCTTCCATGGCGCGGTTATCATTTAGGTGTTAGCTAAAACATACCTCATAGGATACTACTTGCAGTGTTGATTGTTCTTAACATCCCAGTAATTCTGTTTATGATTTGGCACCCAAACTGTATCAACTTTTTGAGACCACAATTATCAAACCGCCATGTGTAAGAATATCTCAAGAGCCATATTGTTACTAGATTTGATTCTAGTTTTTTTTTAACATTTGGAGGAACTTTTTTTTTGGCTGTTTCTGACCGTAAGGATCTGCTGGTTCTCTTGCAGACATGGACATGTTATGAACAAGGACAGCTCGAGAAGATGATAGATGCAGATCTAGAAGATGACCTAGACTCCGACGAGGCATGCCGATTCTTGAAAGTTGGTCTTCTGTGCACTCAAGACGCGATGAAACTCCGTCCCAACATGACCAACGTCGTCCGGATGCTGACCGGAGAAAAAGATGTCTCCATGGAGAGGATCACCAAGCCTGCTGTGATCGGTGACATGGGAGACATCAAGGTCAACAACCAGCAGAGACCAGGCGACTCGCAATCTGAACCATCCACAATCATATCATCAGAAGCAACAGCAGAGTCATCGCCGTGAGCAGTACAGAATATATCATGCAAATCCTGTTGTTGTACATTATCATTCTGGGTAGGCACAAGTGCGTGTTCGGTTGACTGATGCCACCGTGGTGTTACTATGCAGTAAAGTTATTGCATAATTAAACAAGTTTCCTTTATAAGTTATTACCTGACGCATTTATCTGACAGACGTTCACTGGGGGCGAATTGCCAGAGAACGCCTCACTTGCCATGCCGAAATAACTAAATTTGACGTGTTGTTGAGCGAAATGCCCTGTGCGAAAGGGGAAATTGCCATGTAAATGAAAGAATTATCAGCGATTTTATAGAGAAATTATCATCCGCGTGATCTGGATCCAATGTCTTTGTGGGCGTTTGCGGGGACTGTCTTCCCGGCAAACGTTTGTCCATTAACATGTCGGAGGGGAGAGGAAAAAGGTGTTTGGGCTGGATGGATTCTTCTCGATATAAGTTGATCGTCATGTGTTTCCAGCCACTTTACTAATAGCCCTAATAATCTATATCTATACTACTATTAAACAAGCAAACTAATACTTTCTTAAAACCATACGGCTGATATACACATACACACTACTATTAAACAAGCAAACTAATTCTTTCTTAAAACCATACGGCTAATGTACACAGTTTAATTAGCACCCTTCGATTGCTCATTAAACTTAATCTAACAGCCAGGCTTAATCTAATCTATTCTCTGATGTGCATTTAGTAATTTACGTTGGCTGAACATGCTTCACCTCAGACGAATATACGAAGCCCCGCCCCGCCCCGCAGGCCCGCACCTATGCAATCGCTACAATCACGTAAGGGGAGAAAAGAAGAAGGATCCCCTCGCTTGCTAACTACCCCGCGTGGCCGCAACCAACACCCGGACGATGGCCGTACACCGCAGCCGCCGCCTGACCCTCCTCCGCCACCGGAGTCGCCGCAGAACCGACCAGTACGCCGCACCTCTGCCACGACGACTCGCGACGCCGGCGGCACCTCCCATCCCTTCCTATAATCTTCCCTAACACTACCCAGCGGACGACCAGAGGAGGTGGAGCTGACGTCTCCATCCTTCATGTACACCGACGATGAGCTGCGACGGTGCCCTCTCGCCATGCACGCCCTTGATCTGGACCGCGCCGCCGAGCCCGTGGCCCTCCTCCCCAGGTCACATCCTCCCACATGCCACCATGCTCGTCCTCCTCTGCACCCAAGATTTGTCCATAAGCTCCACGTGCATTAGCAGGTTCGAGCCGGCATTTGGATCGTGCAAGTCACAGGAGTTTGCCGGCAACACCCAGTCTTTGATCTGGTTTGTTGTTCATCTCAGTGATTTTTTCTCTGGAAAATAATCTGGCACATTAAAAACTGCATTTTGTAATGGTTCATGCAAACTGAATTTTATCCGTCCTGCATTCATGAAATTTTATGAATAGGACAATCGTGTTTGCTTTCAGACGTTCTGGTGTATCAAATCCTCTGCACTGCATACATTGGGATTGAAACGATGCCATGAGAGTTGGCATTCACGCTTCTGGTATGAGATCAGCTCAATCATCTCCAATTAGTTTTCTCTTGTTATCCAGGTCTTAGAACAAGACCGCAGTCAGTCTTTGAACAAGGGGTGTATGGGAATACATGGTTTGGACCCCTCTGCAGATTGAAACATTTTCCTGATACATAGTTTACATTTTTCACAACTTAAACACATGTAGGTTCCAGTTGCGATTCCAATGTGCAATTCCGATATAATATTTTCTCATGTTGCTTCATCATCCTCTTTTGTTTGGCTCTTAAACTTGGAACATTTATTCCCACCGGCTCTATATACTGCTATACTGAACCTACCTATTTTGTAAATTCTGATCAAATTTGTAAGGGATAAGTATATTTTTCGTCCCTCAACTTTTTTAGAAGTTTAGAAATGGTTCCTCAATTTCAATACCAGCAATTCTTAGTCCCTCAACTTTCAAAACCGGATAAGTTTAGTCCTTCATACCGCTTAGGATGGTTTGGTGCTGATGTAGACATGGTTTTAACTAAAACTAGACATATCGCGTAAGTTTGACCGACTTGACCGCCACATCAATATCCACAAACTCACGGTGGCCACTATCATCGAGCCACTGCTCCTGTAGGAACTCGCAGCAACGGGTGCTAGCCAGAGGGCGTTGTGCTGCAGCAGCAACAACTCCTTGGCAGCTCGTCAGGAGGCGCCGGCTGGGCGCATGCTCTACGATATTGCGTATGGGTATGTACGTACGAAAGCTGGCTTGGGTTCTACCGTAGAGCTGCTGGATCGATTCACAGGAGACTAGCTAGCTACGTACTCCGTAGAAGATGGATTTTCGCCGGATTGGAAAACGAACACAAGCAACACACGTAAGCCAGAAGCACCTTGACTCAAGTCCGGAGAGGAGCTCGTGCCTCAGCCGCGTACGACCGGAGCTCGAGAAGCACCTGGCCATGTCCTTGAGCAGCCTCGATCGACAGTGTGGAGCATGAAGACAGAATGCCGGAGTTGAACCTGGGCGTGGATTCATCCAGCATCAGCCGGTAGAGCCATGCACGAGGTCGCCCATGGACATCCTCCGCGCCCCTCAGGAAGCACCGGTGGCGCTCGAGTAACGACGGCCGCAACCTGCAATGCTTCTTCTTTTCACCTGCTTCGCAAAGCCGCTCATCAGAGGCACCACGACGCTGAGCGGGGTGCTGGGCATGGCCTCGGTATCGAAGAACGGCACGGCGTAGACCTGCTGTGCGGCCCTCGATGCCACTGTCCGAAAATGTGGCAAGCGCACCATAGGTGTTCGATAAAATGCCAACCAAAACCATGCCATGTCATCAACAAAACCATTCAAAGCGATATGAGGGACTAAATATATCCGGTATGAAAAGTTGAGGGACTAAGATTTGCTGGTTTTAAAGTTGAAAGACCATTTCTATACTATGAAGAAAATTGAGGGATGAAAAATGTACTTTTCTCAATTTGTAATGCATGGCCTGTCAGCTTATATTGTCTATCTTGTTAATTTGTAAGTCCAGTTAAACTAATTCTGCCAGTTGTATTTGATTAAATAATAGCATGAGCTTACAATTCGCAAGTGTGTGATTTGATTTCACTTATTTATTTGACAAGTCTGATTGTATTTGGTAATCTATTTTTTAATTTTCAGTTTCTTTTAGTGCAGCGTCCTATTGTTTAGTATGTCCAGGCAATCTGTATGAGGACCAAAGAATTATCCAAAATCACCGTAAAGAGGAAATAGTGTAGAGAGTAAGATCCGCCCATAGGGATCATTGATGTGATAATAACATATTCGAATTCTGAATTTGAGAATAATCTCGATGCAGTACATGTCAGAAGTTTAATTCTTATGGAGATATAAGAAATATTGATCCCACAGAAAATTTTGTGTTTTTAGCTTTGGAGTTTATGGTCTGAAGCAACAACTACAGTTGTGTTTTCTGGGCATCTGGAAAATCGATGTTGGCCGCGGCACGCCTAAAACTGCTACAGTAGCGCTGTAAAACTATTTTAGCGCTCGATATTTTTACGCGTCTGTTGAAGATGCTCTTATTGCGATCTAGGGCAGATAAATTTGAAGGCTGTAACTTGCCATAATTGCTATGTTTAATTCTATTATGTGTTGGGTTTATTAGCAAGCTTTGGTCTGTTTTGATACAATTTCATTCTGGTTGCCATCTGCGAGTTACTGTTCCATCACAGTAATATAGTTCGAATCAATTGTTATTCAAATTGAGACTTTCTGGGTAGGTTGTCAGAAGTATTTAAATTATGATTTCAGTTTGGGATACAACCGGCAGTCTGAAATCAGTACTTGTGCTCAGACAATCTAGAGGGGTTATAAAATTTCTTTGCAAAGCTTGTACAGAAGCTTAAGAATATGCCTGCTCCTTTTTCTTTTGAGGGAAAGAGTATGCCTGCTATTTTGGGATATTGTGGTGTTAAATGATCACTTCATAAATGATACTATGAGATGGTGTTTGGTCAACCAAAGACGACGAATATTGGAATAAAAAGATGAAGAATATTGGTCAACCAAAGGCAAATTCACTTGATGTTGCATTTTTTTTCTTAGTTCTTGAAGATTGGTTAGAGAAGAAGACCTGGGCCCAGTTTGGATGCTAATGTTGCTTTTTAGATCTCAATGGTTCAGTACAAAGTTGGGTTATCTATTTTGAAATGGAGGGAGTACATCCTTACAATGCGAAGGGAAGCAAGAGCAGATAGCAGTAGTAGTTATAACTGAAGTGATAATGGGCACCTATCTATTTTCTGAACAACACTTGGTTTTCTCATAGTAATAGTCCTTTACTGAATTTAGTTGATACATAAATGGTTCTTTACTGAACAATACTTGTGTGCGTGTGTGTGTGTACAATGGTGATGAACCTTTAAAATGGTCCATTGTCCAATAAGGGGGTTCTAATTTTTGCCTGGATTGTACTGGAACAATATAATTTGCAAATTTCAAATGGTTGTATATTTGACCCATACTTTGATGGGCCAAGGTTGTATATTTGACCCATACTTTGATGGGCCAAGGACCGCCTGGACATGTTGTTGAGCTAAATCCTATTCCAGCTGTTTTTGTAGCTGGGCCGGCCCGTTCTACTGATTTCTGTTTGTAAAACAAAAACTCGCGCGCCAGGTTTCGAACGGCGGACCTCCTGGTTAATACACGCTACGCTAACCACTCTGCTACGTCGACCTTACATGATCAATAGGAACTTCTTCCTTCTTTTCATCTTACGTTGTTTCTTTTTTCTATTTCGTTTTTCTTTGCTCCCATTTCCTTTTTATTTTATCATTGTTCTTTTTTATTGGGAATGGTTTTGTTTGCTTTTTTATTCTTTTTTTCTTAATGCTAATTAAAAAAACTTTTTCAAACCATTGATCTTTTTTCGAAATTGATGAACTTTTATCAAATTGAATGAATTTTTTCAAAACCGAATGAACTTTTTTTCAAACTCAATGAACTTTTTCAAATTTGATAAACTTTTTTCTTCAAAATCAATGAACTTTTTCCAAATCCGATGAACTTTTTTCAAATTCGATTTCT